TTTAGACACAGTATCTTAAAAAGAATCATTGTTATTACACTATCAGATAACGGGAAAATTCAGAGTCAGGATAATTATGGATTATACAAAACTTGATGATGTTACTATAGAGGGAAAGCGGACGAACGATGATTTTCAGAAGTCAGTGACACCTACATTTTCGAAACAAACATGTTTATTTTATTGATGGATCATTAAATAAACGGCATTATTACTATTGCACTTAATTATATCGTATTATTCTAATATAACTTCCTAAGAGTTTCAAAAACATTTTCTAGGTATACATCTCATTTGAACCGGTGATTCTCCCAGCCAGAGTTCCGCTTTAGGATCAGAAAGTTTCTGTCAACAATATACTATCACCTAGCCCAGTAATGGGATCTGAGATCTGTCGGTCGTGAAATCAAGGCGCAGTAAATTGGAAGGGGTCTGATCCTCTATACGTCGCTCTGTTCAACGGGCACCCAAATTTTTTCAGCCACACGATCTAATGACATGGGTATGCTGCCCAGGTTTCAGTCGGTCCGAGTCCAATATACAATTTTTTTTGTTATGCTTTGGTCCAGTCTAGTGAAGTGATGATGACCTATAAGTATTTTCAAACACACAAGAAGATATAGACATAAAGAATACGATTTGAAACCAATTACTTGATAAATAGAATACATTAAGACATGACAAGACATACAAACATGCTTAAGAAATATTAACTCTCTCATGTTTGTCAAGAAAAGAAATTAATCGATATTACATTCAAGGTATTCATTCTTGGTGGTCGTGGTAGACAAGTAGTATCCCGAAATGTTTCAAATAATCAACAGATTCAAAACAGGTTTTGATGTCACAAGATACCGTTTGATTTTAAGACTAGAATTATTAGCAACTGCTTTCGTCGGTAGCATTAAAAAAAACACATATTGTGTTGTAGAATTATTCAAAAACGTATACGTTATAATTATAATTTCTGTATTGTAAGCATGTTTTGAAACTAGTTAAAGCACATGTGTCAATAACAAACACGAACATAATTCACCAGCAAAGTGACGCATTTGTTTTTTTTTTTTTTTTTTTTTTTTCATCATTCTTCATCCTTGTGTATAAACTTATGATGGAGTGGTCGTAGTCCTTTTAAACTGGGTTCAGTAATTCGTTACGAATCTTGTATGTCTTACATTGCTGACCAAAAAGCCCAAAAGCTGACATTGGAGTTTTGTGTTATCAATAATACTATAGCGGGGGCCTATTTGTCCAAACTTGTACATAATAATATAAATCAACATAAGAAATGTTATTTTGCGATGCAGAATTCTTAATTTCTTTATTCTCTTTTAAATTCTTAATGTACAGTTATCTGAAAAGATTGAAGATAGAGATCAATCGGGCATAAATGAAGTTTGGAATCGTATGGCGGTGCTAGGATCTACACATAAATAGTTTACTGGTTTTAGGCCAGTATGTTTGCACACTTCGATTTGATTAGGTAAATTACAGTAAAATTAGTCTCGAGAAATTTTTGCATATGTAGTGGTGTGTATATTACTCAGAATTTTATACTCATCCCTAGCAACACTGATTTTTGTTTTCAATAAAAACAAGTTTTTATTTTAAAGAAAAAGGTTTTGACTTTATAAAAAAAAAGTGTGTGTGCGATTCACACACGATAGAAGTGAAACTTCAAAGAGGAGAGATCGATATTTAAATTATTTTTTTTTTTCCTTTCATCTAGGTTTTTGAAACACCGGGAGGTTTACGGGGGGGTCCAAATTTGTTATTTTTGGCCTAGGAAGCACCGTTTCCGAGATATTTCAATCTAAAGCAAAAAATCGTCACTTGATAGTGGAAAGTGGAAACAAGCACAACCATACACTACTACAAACGCAAAAAATTCTCCAAGCTAATTTACCTGTACTAAACAATACAATATGTTGTGGTTCTTTTTCTTTATCGTTTATCTTTAAATTTGAAGTTTGATCAATTCTAAGATGCAAATATTGTATGCGTTATTTCCAACAGTTTGACTACAATTCCTTTTTATTGATTTGTGTTAAAGGGCCCCAAGCCAAGACTAGCATGTTTTCTCCTGTCTTCTTGAGTCTCCTCCTGTGAGAAGTACACACAAGAAATGCCACATTATAATACATGCATATCTCTACAAACAAGAAAAGAATGATAAAATTGACAGTAAGAGTAACGGCATCGACGTCCTTAATCATCAAAAAATGCCAAATTTGTGGTAAGGTGCTGATTATTGTTGACGCACCACTAAACGGCACATCTAGACAGATTTCTGAAAGTAAGGTATGGTAGGATTTGTCTAAGCAAACCATGTTTTTTGTCTGACTGTACAAAACAGATGTTTTAGACAGGTGTCAGAATTATAATTATTTTAATGCTTGATCGAAAGTTCGACAGACAATACCGCCTCGACAGGGAGCTCCACTCTTGTTGATACATCTGAATCTGAATACATGAAAATGGAGATTTGGTTACAGTTCCGGCTTCAGCTTTGATTAAAAACGGGAAGTGTGTTAGGTTAGCCTAGAATTACTGTAAGTACTGTAAGTGTAAAGATCACTGATAAACACAATAAACATTGTATATCATTGAAGGTATTCATTGGCTATTTTATGTCTTTGAATTACATAACAAAGAGAAATATTCCTATAACAGAAATAAATAAAAACATTCCTTAAATTCTTTATAGTAATATATAAATGAATTATTTAAAAAAGAGAAATTATATTGTGTTCATTTATAAATCATTTGTGTAACGTGCAGGCTAGTCACGTTCGTTTGTAGAAATTTAAATTAAAACATGTTTAAACTTATAGTCTTATGTTGGGTAAGTCTTCTTGAATAAATTTTTTGAAACAAAAAATAACAACAGTGTAACAATGCTATGCATTGATATTTCAGTTAGTCACTTACGAGCATAATACCACTTCTGTTGGCACTCCGGGAGTGAAAACTTATATACAGAGGTGTCGGTAACGGTAACAGTAACAGTGTCGCTAGTTTTTTTGTTCTCATCTCAAAAAATGCCTAACACTCCTAAAGAAGTTTTCACTTCAACAGAGGTGCTCGTAACGGTAACAGTGTCGGGAGTTCAATGGTTTTTTCCTATAAAATACATTATGTTGTTTGTTGTTCAAAAATGCCCAACGCGCCTAAAGAAGTTTTCACTTCAAAAAAATTGAACTAGGGGGAAAACGAACAGAGGGTCCTGCTGGTAAGGAAGTACCGGCGCCCATGAACACCTGTCACTCAAGAGTCACAAGTGTTGTACAGCCCTTTGTGTCCCTCCTCTGAAATAGGGGAGGTGGATTTTCAATCTGGTAACCTCACTCACTGGGTGAAAATCAACAAAAGAACTGCTTAGCACTGGTTTTCTGTGAGGCCGTGGTATCACTCTGGTCGATCTTGGTCCATATGAGCTGAAGCCTGGCTCTCCCACTAAATAATAAGGCTCTTCCGTAATGTTAGTAGAACTGCAGAGTTTCGTGAAACAACATTTTTAATTGACCAGTGTAAGTTACTATCATTGTATAGATTTTCTATACCATGATAGGCCAAGATATATCCAGTGTAGATTATTGTAGCCGTTTTAATATTCTCTTTATGAATTAATTACCAAAATTTACTTATAGGCTCTTTTATGTGATCGTGACCGTCCTTTTGTTCATGTAGTTTAAACGGTTCAGTGATAATCCTAATACAGGTGCCTTATTCCTGCTTCTTGGCAATACTGCAGACACAACCGTATCTCTTCATCTTGCCTAGATTGCCCTTTTTTTTTTTTATTTTTTTTTTCCGTGCGGAAATCCCCTCGGATACCACCTATCGGTGGCATGTCGGACTCGAACCGACTAAAACCGTACGCCGTCTCGGGTACTAATAGCCGGGGAACCAGGTATACCCTAAGAAAGGAAGTCCCTGGTGCCCCGACATACCTCGAGTCATCTACAGACGAGTAGACGACCCCCCGTGTGGGAACCCCATGTTCCCTGTGCTCCCTGGAAGCGAGCGCGCTTCGCAACGCGCTCGCCGCCACCCCGGCCTGCTTCTGCTAGGGTGACAGATGGCCTCACCTGTCACCCCCAGGCCTGCGCTTATGGAGGACGGAGGTCGTTCTGCGACCTCCGGCGCCTGAGTCGCCTGCGGTACCTGGCCCGTTCCCGGGCCTGGCGGGCCGGGAGAGTCCTAAACCTCTCCCGGTCCCGCTCCGCCGTCTCCTTCGCAAGCATAACTTGCTCGCAGAAGGAGACGTCAGAGTTCCACGCACTCTCGCTCCGCACGATAGCCGCAATCAGGCTATCGAGCGAGAGAACTCCCACTCCGGTGGCCGCCACGAGGTCTCGCCTCTGCTCAACCCACGCCGGGCACTCTGCCAGCGTGTGGAGAGCCGTGTCCACGGTCCGGCCATCGCAATGGTGGCACTCAGGCGTTGGCTCCTTGCGGATCAGACACAGGTGATCCCCGAAACATCCCTTCCCAGTGATCACCTGCGTCAATCGGTATGAGAGGGTCCCGTGACGCCTCTCGAGCCAATCCTCCATAACGGGTCTTACCGCCGCGATGACGGCGTGCCCGTGCCTAGATTGCCCTGTCCGTTGTTCGCTAATTTTCCTTTGTTCCTTCTGGAAACGATTACATACAAAGAAAGATTAGCGTTGGACAGGCGACCAGCCATAAAGAACACCTGTCAACCTTTTGTCATGTACTGCTAGAGATAGAGATAGAGATAATTTAAGTTGTCAGAGGTTAATAAATGTATGTTACACTATTATTTACAGATCTTATACGTTCACGTAAACTGGGCACACCACCACGATCGTTATAGACATCATCATGAAACATACGAGCTCTGTCAACTGGACGTAAATCTGAACCCAGTCCGCAATCCGATCAGGTCTTTAAACTCCCAACATAGAAAGCGTAATCTTCATACCCGCCGTAACGAAAATAAAGAAAACAAAAAAAGAAAACTCCGTAAAACTATGAAAAGGAAAAATCTAAACTTAAAAAGCTATAATTTAGATGAAATATCTAAATCAAATAGGAAACCTTGGTTTCATCGTTCAAAAGGCAGGCGACATCGTAACCATAATAAGAAGATTACTTCATCACAAACATCTTTTACCAGCGACAGCCCTTCTGAAGACACACAGGCTGATATATTTACACAGACACGTATGGAGGAATCGAGTTCAGATAGATTAAATACAGAAAGGACAGAAACAAGTTCAACGCAGAGTTTTACAGAAAGGATACGACTGTACAAATCAATACATGACCCACCAAAAACAGAAAGATCCCCGCACCAATACCCTGTACCAGATATCTCTTTCGAATGATATTTATTTCTTCATTATTACGTTAACATCCATAGACACATTTGCAATATACGAAATCCAGTTGTTGAAGGTTTTTTTTTTTATTAAAGAGGGGGCAAACGGAGCTGCCTGGTCTCAGATGGCAAGTGACCACTGCCGCCCATGAAAGTCTATCAGGAAAGGACACAAGAGTCATTGCTGGCCTTTTAGGAAGGGAACGCTCTTTGATTGAAGGTTTGAAGGTCGTATCGGTCCGGCAATGCCGCAGACGATAACTTGTTCCACAGATTGGTTAGTCTCTTTAAGGTTAGATAGCAATGAATGGCTGTTGGACTTGACTCTTGATACTTCTGAAGTGCGAGTAATGGGAGCTGCTAGTAAATATTTGAATAAATTTGATCGGGTTATGCCAAGATGTTGTAATTAACTTAAGAAATCTTAGAAATCTAATTTAAAGTATCGACTTCTACTAAGTTTATAATGAATTTATGTTATACGTTGCAATTGTAGGAAATATTTACAAGTTTAAAGTATTTAATGTAGTTTTTTGAAAGAATATTTTCTGTAAATGCTTGTTTTTTTTTTCAATTCGACCAATCGCAAAACCCATGTGATATTTATTTTTATTTTATTTGGGGAGCTTACGACTAAAGGGGAATGCCCACCGACCACAGACACTTCGGCCATACGTGCACACATATAAAAGAAGAGGTAAGAGAAGGTAAAAGGTATAAGATTTCGAACTTTTCGTGACACCACAATTTACACAGCGTTAATATCCTCTTGAGTGAGTTACTGTGGGCTGTGAAGAACTTTGTAATAAATCCGCAATAAAACAAACAAAAAACGCAAATGAAATTGTGATTACAAGTGACAGTGAGCGACAGCTCTATTTTAAGACATTCGATGTTGCCACTTAAAAATATTGAATAAAAAATCGATATCGATTTTTGATTAAGTAATATAATTAAGTATGAAATAATAATCTTCGAGGGGTCTTTAAATGCTGTACGCCTTTAATAATTGCCGAAAAGTTTCATCAGGATCTATTCAGCTGTTCTGGTGTGGTTGATTGATAAACATTCGAATTTATAATATTAGTAAAGTGAAAAATATTGCCGTAATAATTTCATTCTTGCAATTTGAATAAATAAACATTAATTAATATTCGTTTATGTTGAGAACATTTGGAAACACTTTTCATGGAACACTTGTGTAACGATCTTTGGGTGAATACATTGTTGCAACAAATTTTAAAATTAAAAATGTTTAAATTGATTTTGATTTGTTTGGTAAGTATTTTAAATACTATTTCATCTTATTTCTTTAATGTACGTTATATAATCTACAATTTCAACAGTTTTCCATTGAAAAGCCGTCAATTTTGTGTATCGTGTTCTTTTCAGTATTTTATTATAAGTATCAAGAGAGAGTACCGATTAACATTTATTTAAACTTGCAAACTGCCATTTTTAATTTACTAAATAATTTTATTATTTTCTGCCTTCTATTGAACAAATAATATTAGAAGTAAGTAATAATAATTAGAGTAATTTCCATATTGTTGCCCAAGGGGCATTTAACCTTAGCTATTTAACCTTACTTCTATTCCTTTTAAAAGACTTCGACAATTAAAAGGCTTTAATATTTTCTTTTATGTGCAAATAACATATCGTCGATGAGACTGCAAAAAATGCGTAAGAGCAGTTCGCAATACCGTGTATTTAGAAAATACGCTTTAACTATATAGACATATATCATCAACAGTCTTACATAGTCCACTGCTGGACATAGGCCTCTCCTTAGAAAGAGGTTTTATACCACGCTGGCCAGACGGGTTGGTACAGTGTTTGTTTCAAATTTTCCTTATCTTTGCAGTCCTGTTGTGTAGTTTGCTCCTTAGTCGGCTCTTACGACACCCACGGGATGAAAAGGGGTGGTGACACTCTGTATTCTAAATCCGTCACCACACGGACACACACACACACCATAGACATATATATAACAGAGATATTGGTAGTTAAAAATCACTTTGTATATATACGTACTTAGTATATCTGTAATAAGTATGAAATAATATAACACATATATCTAATACATAATAAGAAGTCTAAACCGGCAATCTAGGCACGCGGCAGCGTGTGTAGCCAAGTTCAAAGCAAAGGAACTTGCGACGCAGCAGCTGTGTGTAGTATTAAACGAATCATTTCGAGCTACTTCTGACCGAAAACTATATAACCTACATATATGAGTTTGGCACATTGATTTAAGATCCTTAGCTAGTCTAGAATTCAAAATTTCAGAAATTTTGCTCTAACAGTTATTGATTTATTACCTTAGATAACTACTTCAGACTAATTTATTTTAGAATGTTGTAAGTTCTTGTAATTAAAATTTTAGGATTTTCATTAATTTCACTAGGAACTTGGCGCCTATATAGTTCTCAATTCTTTTGTCGGCGAGGTCGATAACGATGTATATTCTTAGTATTGAACTTGGCTCTCGATTCACATTTATGTTTTTGATGGGATCGATCTTACATTTAGACATTATATCAGAGTAATTACTTGAAGAGACAAGAGACTTTTATAAATCTACCAAACGATTTCCTTCGGCTGTTTTTCGTTAGGGTGTAATGAATTTCATTTATATTCCATTTTAATTGTTCGTTTGCAGATACTACTCATCAATTTAAATTCGGCATTCTTCTTTGGCTACCACAATAATCACTACAAACCTCACAGAGCGCACAGCAGATTTCATCATTTACGACATTTCAAACATCACCAGCCATGTTCTCACAACTCCCACCGTACAACAACTACGTCACCTACTACGAAAACTTCACCAATAACAACAAACCCCACTACTGCTGCATCCACCCCCCAGCAACAAACACCAACAACAGAAAGAACAAACCCCACTACAGCTGCAACAACCCCGAAGGCATAAACTCCAACAACAACTACATCAACTTAGCAACCATCAACAGGAACGTCAATAGCTGTGACAACAACAACAGAAAATGCAACAACACCAGTTTCAGCTACAGAAAGACCAACCACACAAGCGATAGCAGCTTAATAGTTAGCTGAAAGCTGCAGCGAGGAAAACGATACTTAGCTTTAGCGCCAGTATCCACTGAAGCCCAAACCTTCCTCCCCGTCCCTCCTTCCAGAATCACAAGTGTTTTTTGTTGTTTGTTGGCTTAGTCTACTTGCATAACGTTGGTAGAATTTTATAAATATAATTATATTCTAAAATTATATTCTATACTCCTTGCTGTTGGTTTTAATAAAAATATGTCTTTACCAAACCATAAGCGGCTTGGTCTAATACTGAATAAGTATGTGAAGAACCCTTCTGAGGGAATATTGTACTTCTTATTCTTCAACTGTTAAGATAAGTCCTTTTTATCTGATATTATAAATCTGTAGAGTTTGAACGCCCTAATCTTAGGAGCAACTGATTCGAATTGAATAATTAGTTTAATGCTGGATAGCTCATTTATCAAGGAATTCCGTAGTCTATATAAAATTAGGCTACGACCGATTGGAGGCTAGCATCAATTAAAAATGTGGAAAATGTATTTCTTTTGAGAGTTGCAAACGTAGTTGCGCGGGCCAACTAGTTATACTTACAATACGAATACAATGTACATTTTGCTTTAGTAGTACCCACTCAGTTCGTATTGAATATCATAAAAATGCAGCAGGTCTTAACAATGTCATTCTTATCGTAAGGTATGTTGAGTTTTGATACGTTTAAGAGGCCCTGTAGTAAGAGGCTACCTCTCGTTACCATGGCTGGTAGTGACTTTTAATTCTCTTGCTCTCTTGGATCTTGAACAAGTTAGGCAGAAGAATTCTTTTGCCTAACTTGTCATTACCTGTGCCGAGAAGAATCGCTCACTCATACTCAACTGAAAAAAGGTAAGCTGCTTTACAAAAATATTAACACAGTCAAAATCCTGAACAGATCAGAAGTAGAATTCGAAGCAGGTTTACCCACGCTCCAATTATGCTTTTATTATGTACAATTGTTAGTATTCAACTGTAGTACTCGATTTTAATGGATGCATTGTGTAGATAACAGAAGAAGGAGTATCAAAACTAGGTAAAATATAGGTATTCCTAAAATTTCCACAATAAAGTCTATAATTGAGTTCTTGGGATGCGTTGCCGTTGTCCAGAAAAAAACTGCTCTAAATTTATTAGATCCAAGAGGAAAATGGTAACAATATAATCCCTAATTATATTATAAATTTGAAAGTAACTCTTTATGTTTGTCTGTAACGCTTTCACGGCTAAACCACTGACCCAATTTTAATAAAATTTGACATGAAGAAATCTTGATTCATGAAGAAGGACAAAGGCTACATTTTACCACAATAGCCGAAATACACGCGAGCGGAGCGGAAAAATAGTTCCTAATAAGAGGCTCACGTTGGACGGCTGGATCAAGAGTCTGATGCAGAAGGCAGTTCTCCTTGACACGGCCCGTATAGTGAGGAGATTCCTGTCTTTGGAGTCCTAACCACTTGTGTCTTAGTCCCTGTACCCGATGTCGGTGGTCTACTATTTTTTATATTTTTAAATGTATTTTTTTCTTTTGTTGCATATTTAAAAATGTAATCCAAATGTATATATAATGTAAGAAAGACTTAGAATAAAGACTAGACTTGTAATAAAGATTGTTTTGACTGCACGGATGGCGTAGTGGTTTAAGCGGTCGCCACGCTGCTTCCTACTACGCCGAGTGTTGTTGGGGGTCAAACCCCACATGGGACGACACTTTGTGTGATCCACGAATTGTTGTTCTGAGTCTGGGTGTTCTTTGTGTCCGTTTCATGTATGTTTGTAAAGTCCCCCACGACACAGGATTTATTCCTAATGCGGGAGTTGTCTTTTTAAAAACTGAAAAAAAAAAACTGAAAAAAAAAGAGAATAATAATAGCTTCACACATCTGACACACAGGTTAGTAAGTCTGACTGCTAAGACAGAGGTCTTGGTTTCAATTCTAGCTTCGGGCAATTATGTAAAGAGCGTGATAATTTTTTCTCTTTCTGGGCATAATTTATCTATAGGATAATATTTACATATGAATATGTTTATCAGCATAGACTGGTTCTGCCTATTTTTAGATCCTTTCCGTATTCTATAGCCCAATCCTTGAGGAAAGTTGGAAGGAGCAACGAATATGGTTACAGATTAAACTTGGGAGAGAGGCTAGTAGTTACTAAGTATTGTTTACTTATAAATGTTTTATTACTTCATGAGTAGAAAATATCTGACAAGAAATAATGGCATTATTGTATCCTGTTTGATTTACAATCATAAGTTATTATTTAATGTATCATATAATTGTGAGACAAAAGTAAATATTTTCTTGATTATACCATTTCTTAGTTTCTATACCGATATAAATGAAAGTGTAATAATTAAATCGCAGTTACTTAGAATCACAATTTTTTCTCAAACACTTATGTGTGTAATATGTGTTTTAATTAATCTACACTTTAAAAATGCTTAAACAATTAGGGGTGTGTCTGGTAATTTGTTTTAATTTATTTACATTTTAAAGTAGTGTGAATACAGTAGAAATTAATTGTATTTATATATATGTGTATCCTACCTTTTCTATATTGTGAGTGTATATTTGTGTGTGAACTATGGTCTCATTGTGAAATGTAATTAGACTAGCTGGTTTCCGTGACTTCGAATTTGAAAAGCACTGCCTTAGTCTTGTAGTACGGTCCGCGACTGCACTACAAGACAAAGAACCCACACGTGTTTTCATGTAAAAAAATGTATTGAGTTAATACTATTATTTAAAAAAAATATATAATAGTGATTATCTTGATTATCTGATGTTACATTATTTGCATTACATTTACCCTTATTTACAGATATTAAATATCAATCTTAACTGGGCACTAAACAATAACCAGGTATATAGAAACAATTACGGACCAAAGGGTGTTGTCACTTATGGGAAATTAAGCGACTACGATAAAGTGATTAACGATTGGAAAGCTAAACACAAAAATGACCAGAAATCTGGGTTGTATAACTCTGGCAAATCCTGGTATTACGACTCCTCGCTCGGACGATACCTTTACATCAAAGATAAGAAGAAAAATACAGTAAGTTGGTCAAAAATAACAAGTACAGAAATAAGAACCACAAAAAAAAATATTGACGCGATGTTTATACACAAGTTAGCAACTACTAAAACCACCACTAAGAAGCCAGATTCGGTTAATAATAAAAAAACTGCAATAGAAAAAACAACTACAGAAGAGCCCGTAACAGATATCCCATCACTCCTTTACTGGTTGGAAAAAGCAGTTCTAAAAATATTTGCAGATCAATTACCACCAAATAACCCCGTTGTAACAAAAACAGAAACAGAAAACTTAGCTAAATTTGCAATTGAAAAGTCAAAAATGGAAAGACTGGCATCGAAACAGAAAACAACAAAAAAGCGAACAACAACAACAAAAACAACCAAATCGAAAAAGAAAATCACAACTAAAAGAGCAGCTTTGAGTTGTTGGGTTAAAAAAGAGGCTACAACTCAAAAAACACCAGCTCATAAAACTATAACAAAACGAACAACAGAAATACTTCAATACCGCCAAAAGACTAATACTCTAGTGACCATACTTACGAAAAAATTAACAGCAGCAAAATCTACCACTAAAAAGATAAATTCAGGAAAACAGGCAGTTGAAAAGTCAGCTAATAAAAATCATTTAAATAAAGTGCCAGAAAGGCAAAAGATTGAAGAAAAGAAACGGACCACAGTAAAAATTGACAAAAAAAACTCATCGAAACTGAAAGTAAAAGGTGTTGATAAAGCCACTACCAAAAAAATATCAACTACTAAAAAACTAAACACAAAAGCGGAACGAAAAAACGAACCGGCAATAGAATGTCTGCTACAGAAAAGTGGACAACATCGTGGCTATTACGACTGCATTAATGTCAAATAATATAAAAAAATGATTAAGGTATTTCCGTATTCCACACGAGGAATTGTTGTGGCGGGCATCGTTGCGTAACTAGTCAAGTAATAATATTTTAGTTATTTAACTTATATCCATGGCATTATTCCTGGGTACATTCTCTCTAAATGCATGACTTAACCATGCTTAAGTGATGCTGAGGATATCAAGCATATCTGACACACAGCGAGGAGGTAATAAATGCGAAGAAGTTTTTCTAATTCTACTCCACGTGGAAGTTATGGCAAATCAGCTTCTGATAACAATAAATATTATTGGAACGAAGTTCCTTATCGCGCGTTGTGAAAGGGGGCTAGACGGAAAAAATTCGTACGAAAATTTGGAACGACACTTTTTTATTAATATAAATTGACGTCTAACTGTGGATACCATACATTAAATTTGCTTTAACGTTCGCCAACGTCCATACCATGTTGAATACACCGGTTCTCGTCCGATCACCGAAGTTAAGCAACATCGGGCGTGGTTAGTACTTGGATGGGTGACCGCCTGGGAATACCACGTGATGTTGGCTTTTTTGCTCTTTATTTTCATGTCATCTTGTCAGACATTCAGCGCCATCTATCGAATATATAGGAAATCATTTCGCAAGGAGATTTTACCAATGTATAAATTGTTTTAATTGTTTTTAATATGTAGGTAATAGCCGCTTTCATAGATGGCGTTGTAATTAAAATCGTGTCAAATCAGTTTTACTCGATCGTCACAACTTCGTTCCTATCGGGTGTCCCACGACACCACACGGCTTTTTTTTTGTTCTGAAAGTAATTTATCAACAGCCTTTAACAGTCCACTGCTGGATATAGGCCTCTCCGTAGGAAGGAGGTTTTGGCCTACTATGCCACGCTCTCCAGACGGGTTGGTATAGGATTTGTTTCAAGTTTTCCTTCTCATTGCAGTGCTGTTGTCCTACGTAGTTTGCACGGTAACATGTTGCTACTATACTGAGCCTGCAAGTATTCTCCAACTTACTTTTAACATTAAAGATCTAGATGTCGGTGTATCACTACCTAAATTCAAGACCAACCTCAAACGAATACATATTTATCAACAATTGAAATATTTCTATTGTACGTTATAATATTATCATTTTTGTTATAAAATAAAAGATGTTGTTTATCTATGTTACTTGAATTCACTGTGTATTTTTAATTAGTTCAAGATAAGGTTTATTGAAATGCTGATATTATTTTTTTTGTTTTATTTTAAAATGCGATTGTCTGCGTATAAGAACACACAGCTTTGTTTGCTCAGTTACATTGTGATACTATTAATGTTATATCCTTTGTATACGATCCAAATATATAAATGGTTCAATAATTATGTTACAAAGTTAAACACATTCTCATAATAAAAATCAAAACCAATTGTTTGTTAGTCCTGATGGTTTTATTTAGTCTTTATGTCAGGAACATGACAGAACATGCTCAAAAAAACGTTTTAATTCATATTAGACATCAATAGGAGAAAAAAACTTGTCTTAACATGTACATAAAATTTAATAAATGATAATTAAACTAAGCAAACAAGTTTTCAGAAAATGTCTCTTAGAATTATTATCAGCAGAGTCAGGACTCTTAAACTCAGAGCAAGTGACTTACAGTTATCTACGAAAGAGACAGCTCTTATTAAGGTTAATTCATTTAATTCTTTTCAGCAATTAATTAACTACTACACTATGAAAATAATTACACACTCTTTGGGAAAAAAGCACCTGAAGTATAAGGCTTATTTTAACCGCCCTTCCCAAGTCGGATCAAATCTTAGTATTATCTGCAACATCATCACATCAACAGCCTTTAATAGTCCACTGCTGGATATAGGCCTCTCATTACAAAGGAGATTTTGGCCTACTATACCATGCAGGCCATACGGGTTGGGTTTGTGTCAAGTTTTCCTTCTCTCTGCAGTGTTGTTGTTCTGCGTAATTTTTTCCCTTAGTCGGCTCTTACGACACCCACGGGATGACTAGGGGTGGTGACACTCTGTATTCTGAATCCGTCACCACACGGCCCATGATCTGCAAATAGTTAAAAAAAATTAAAACACATTTGTTTTTATTTCAAACCGTGTACCGCTTTTATCTCTCTCGATGTACATAATATAGACATCTATAAATCTAAAAGAAAGTCGTGTTAGTTACACTATTTATAACTCAAGAACGACTTTACCGATATGGCTGAAAATTGGTGAGGAGGTAGCTTAGAGCCAGGAGATGGACATAGGATACTATTTATTCCGTTATTTTTTTTTTGTATCGGCGTCGATCACCAGATGACAACGGTGGAACTATCACAACAAAAGTGAAAAGAATGGATTTCGATGTCGACAACAGTTGGATTGTTCCATATTCGCCACTATTTCTAAAACGTTCAAGACACATTGCAACGTTGAGTATTGCAATTCAGTAAAGTCCATAAAATATATTTGCAAATATGTCACGAAAGGCAGCGATATGGCGGTTTTTGGATTGCAATCCTCAAATACCAACAATGAAATTTCACGCTATCAAGTTGGTCGTTATGTAAACTGTAATGAAGCGATTTGGCGTATATTCGCATTCCCTATTTACGAACGTCATCCTACTGTTGTGCATTTGGCGGTGCATCTGGAGAATGGTCAACGAGTATATTTCATGGCTTCGAATGCTACGCAACGTGCAGAAACACCTCCAGCAACTACATTGGCCAGTTTCTTTGCGATCTGCCAAAGCGATCCGTTTGCACGAACTTTGCTTTACTCGGAGATGCCACGTTATTATACTTGGAATGCTTTTCAAAGACGAATGCAAGGCGATGCGGTTTCTGGGTATCCGGATGTGCGTTCTACTGATGCTCTTGGTCGTATGTATACAGTTCATCCAAAGAATGATGAATGTTTCTATTTGCGGTTGTTGCTGGTAAATGTGCGTGGGCCAACGTCATTTGAGACACTACGGGCTATTAATGGTGTAATATTCCCAACATATCGTGCTGCATGCGAAGAACTGAACTTATTAGAAAACGATACCCATTTTGATACGACAATCGCTGAAGCCATTATCTCTGCATCTCCAAGTCAGATACGCACATTATTCGCTATCATAATTTCGACACGCTTTCCATCAAACCCATATAACCTGTGGCACAAATATAAGGATAATATGTCAGAAGATATTTTACATCAAATTCGTATCACTTCCAAAAATTACGATGTTGAGATGAATGAGGAGATACATAATCGCGCGCGGTAGTTTATTAATCAGGTTAGGTATACTAGCGCCCAATCGTGAAATGAATGACGCATTTAATCGAGAATTGGAACGGGAAAGTGAATATGATCACCAGGAATTAGATTTAGTAGTTCAAAAGAATGTACCCCTGTTGAATTCCCAACAAAAGGAAGTTTATGATACTTCAATGAAGGCAATCGATGATGGAATTGGTGGTTTATATTTCCTAGATGCCCCTGGTGGAACAGGTAAGACATTCCTCATGTAGTTTTAGCCACTGTTCGTGCGAGATCCAACATAGCGGTTGCATTTGCTTCTTCTGGAATAGCAGCCACATTGTTAGAAGGATGCCGTACGGCTCATTCAGCATTAAAATTACCGTTAAATCTTCAAACTATTGAAGAACCAACGTGTAATATTACGAACAATTCAGCAATGGCCAAAGTTTTATCGGCATCGAAAATCATAATCTGAGACGAATGCACAATGGCGCATAAACGTGCACTTAACCGAACATTGAAAGATTTACGGAATGACTCGAGATGTTTTGGAGGAGCAATGATTTTACTGTCTGGCGATTTCCGCCAAACACTGCCAATAATTCCAAGATCTACGGCTGCCGACGAAATAAACGCTTGCCTCAAATCGTCGAATCTATGGCGCTATGTGAAGAAACTGCAGCTGACAACAAACATGAGAGTTGCATTGCTTAATGATACATCTGCTAAAGATTTCTCTGAGCAATTGCTGACTATCGGTAATGGTCAAGTACCTGTCGATGAATCGAGCGAATTGATATCATTTCCAAATAATTTCTGTAATTTTGTCTCATCAAAAGACGAACTTATCAACAATGTATTTCCAGACATTATTTCTAACTACAAAAATAATGAATGATTGAGTGACGACCTGAACTATATAATTCAAAATAAGATCATTGGAACAATGCATTCATTCAAATCTATTGACTGCGTCACAAATGAAGATGAAGCCACCAACTATCCAATTGAATTTTTAAACTCCTTGGATGTGCCTGGCTTACCACCGCACAATTTACGCCTAAAGGTTGGCTCCGTAGTAATCATGATTCGAAACATAAACCAACCAAAACTGTGCAACGGTACGTGTTTGGTGGTTAGAAAATTGATGAACAATGTAATTTACGCGACGATACTGAAAGGAAAATTCAAAGGTGAGCAAGTTCTCATTCCGAGGATCCCGATGATCCACACCGATTTGCCGTTTGAATTTAAAAGACTTCAATTTCCGATCCGTCTTGCATTTGCCATGACCATCAACAAATCACAAGGCCAATCCTTAAAAGTCTGTGGTTTGAATCTAGAACATCCATGTTTTTCCCATGGTCAATTATATGTGGCATGTTCATGGGTCGGAAGACCATCTGCGTTGTTTGTTTTTGCGCCTGATAAGAAAACAAAAAATGTCGTGTATCACAAGGTACTTAAGTGAAGAGCAACCTATGTGCTGAAGTGCAGAAACAATAATAAATGATTAATGTACTTCATTTTTTTTTCTAAGAAATAAATTTACTTACTGAATTCGAAAATCGGCTTATTTATTGCCTTTAAGGCGGAACAGAGTTCGCCGGGTCAGCTAGTACATAATATTGGCGGACATCTGACACACAACGCCATCTAGTTTCAATCTTAGCAGGCTCTGCTTAGTTGATTGACTGACTTGTACCATGAAAGCTAGATTGACTGATAAAATACTTAGATACTTTTGTTTTGTAAATACATACATAGTATACATAGAAAACACGCAAACTTCGAAACATTATTTGCAGATCATACAAACATTTGATCCGACCCGGCAATCGACCCGAGACCTCAGCACAGCAGTCGCATAAGCCACCACGGCACCACCAAGGCAGTTAACATACATGGTACATGTTTTAAATAGTACCTAGTTTGACTACCACTACCTAAATGATTTAACAACCTGAAACAACTCTGGGTTTATAACAATTTGTCATTGTTATTCTGATTCTGAAAGGAGCGCGCGGAACACGTTTGTAACTGCAAACGGCTGACACATAATTAATGAAGCAAACATTAAAAGATATGAAATCATTTTAAAAAGACTTGCTATTATAGTAGTATCCATTTTTAAAACATAAATCCTATATTATAATTATTTGAATTGCATAAATAACATTGTTAAGAATTTTTAGCTTTACTCATGGCTGCATGTGTGTCCATGACACGAGTGTTTTTAACTTGTCCAATCAATTACAGAATACTGTTCTCATCCCTATGCAGGGGCACTCCAGTACCAGCTTCTCCCTCTGGACCGCATCATACTAAGAGCTACTTGAATCGCCGATAGTATAAAAATCTCCGACCGGCTTGTACCTTCACTCTCTTCTATCGTATATATCATGAAGAGTGCTCCGAGGAATTGCCCGGTATTAACTGGGCTCAACTTTCTGCCATCCTTTCACACGGCAATATTTTCACCCTCATCACTTGAATAATCAGCATCACCCTAAGGTAGACTGGGAGAAAATGCCTGTGGCATTAAGTATTGTACAGCTCATACTTAAATTGCATAACGAAAAAAATAAAAAAAATAAAAAGAGCGTAGTCCTGCCTTAAGACCGGCAACGCGATTGTGACTCCTGAGTTGCAGGCGTTCATGGGTTGCGGTAGTCACTTTCTCTCAGGTGACCCGCCTCAAAAAGCCTGGTAAAAAGGTTATACTAACGGACGTTGAGTCTTTAATACGCAAACTTCAGGAAGGGGACCCTGTTTGTCCTTCTGACTAACGGATAGTAAACCAATTATGAATGCAAATGTATCATATGTGTATAAAAGGTTACACACAAAAAAAAACTTGTAGGTATGTACGACCGTAATTGATCGTCGAATTATTCAGTAAGATAATCTTAACTTTGCAGTTCAAACATTCTCTCTATACCTCTATATAGATTATGATTAATTAGACAACAGGAAAATAGGATCTTGCGATCGCATTAAATATGTTGTAATAAATTAACGACTCTTTCGGATGTTTTCTTTTACTTTTAATGTGAGACCTTGTGTCTTGCCAAGTATTATTATTCTGTGTCAATAAGAAGTATAATAAAATAGGTTTGGATTTGGCGTATCTTTTGATTGGCGTATCTTTTGATGACCCTAACTTAAAGTTTTATATTTTAAACATTTAACACATTACATTTGATGTTTATTTCAAAATCAAAAGGATGTGACAGACAGATAGACAGACATATGGACAACGGAGTGATTCTTTAAGCGTCAATGTTTTCCTTCTGAAGAACGGCTTCCTGAAAACAGTGGGTTCCTATCACTAATCTAGTTGGGTTAGAACTGACATCATAAATTGTAGTTTTATTTTATTTTATCTTATCATTTTTCACATCTCAATCTGTGTTAATTGTGTTACTTCATTATAATATAGCGCGACCATCGTTTGATACCTCTTGTTATTATTTACATAATAATGTTTTGTACATCTTTGGTATATTCATGATTAACTAATATAGAATAATAGAACCATTGTGTCCAGTCTGCTCTTCAATCGGTCAATATAATAATCGTTTGAATGATGGAACAATGAGATAAAGTCTTTAATATTAGATAAGTACTAGAAATTTTCTTTCACACTCGTAACCAGCATTCAGTGTGGTTACCTCGGTTGTTTTAAAATGTTAAGAATTGTAGTGGCTTGTCTGGTAATTTATTTTATAATTAACTATATTTTAAGGTAGTTTTAATACATTTGAATATTTGTTTTTCAAGTGTATTTTATAGTTTTAGGTGTAACGTATGGTTTATTCATCGTGTAAGTGACAACGCGCCTCGTAATTGCCTGTTAGCTAAGGAAAAATGATCAGTGTGGTGACGGATTGAGAATACGGAGTGTCACCACCCGTATTAATCCCGTGGGTGTCGTATGAGTCGACTAAGGGAGCAAACTACGCAGGACAACAGTACTGCAAAGAGAAGGAAAACTTAAAATAAACAATGTACCAACCCGTCTGGTCAGCGTGGTATAGTAGACCAAAACCTCCTTTCTGATTAGAGGCCTATGTCCAACAGTAGACTATTAAAGGCTGTTGATAAGGATTTTGATGATGATAACAATTGCGTTTCGAAAACCTCCTTAACACATACTTTAATTAAATAAATTTTAGAATATTTCTTAAGATATTCAAGTTTAATAGTAGGCGTTGGAAAAAAATCTATATCTAGCCATACTAATAAAAAAAGACTAAACTGAGATTTAAAATATTGACGATGTGTAATTCAAAATATATTTGTAAGTGTATATCCGACTTAAAATAACAAAAAATATTACTTTCAGATAGTCAAGATCAATTTAAGCTTGGCACTAAGCAACACGGACCGACATGAACACAAAGTTCCCCCACAAAGTAATCACACTCAGAGCAAACGTGCACTTACATACAACTTGGACAGCACTAAACATTCTCTAAGTAGCAAAGAACAAAAAGTTATCATACAACTCCTCACAGAAAAACCATTAAGCAAAACATTTAAAAAAGACCTGGATACAGAAAAGTTATCACTTGGGCTACCAGAAATACATGAGCCACCTGCAGAAAAGACAACAAAAGAATGGTCAGCATTTCGTCGATGGAAAGAAAATGCAGAAGGTAAGCCGCCAGTGAAAAGCAGACAACCGAGAACATTCACCGCAGAAAAATCCGTATCGGGAAAATTAGCATTACATAGTCTAACAACGTTGAATCCAGCAATTATAAATCCCTTTCAGATCGTCAAAGATACTCTTGTGAATAATATTTTAACTGGTGAATCAATTACGAAACAGCAAGCGATAACAAAGTTACAATCCGGTAAATCCTCACTAGGGAAGACATTTACACAAAAGCCAACCGTAGAATGGGCAGCGTTAAGACGTTCGAAAGAAAATGTCGATGAAAACCCTATTACTATAAAATCTCTAACAGATGAAACTGCTTTAAGTTACTGGCAGAGGAATATATCTGAAACTATATCTACAACACGAAAACATGAACTAATAAATGTTGTAGATAAACAACCACCAACAGAAGGTATAGAAATAGAAAGTCACAGTATATCTGGGATAAAAACAACTGTTGTAGTAAATTTTTATAAAAAATCGACTACGAAAAAATTAGCTTTCGAAAAGTCAGCAACAAAAAAGCTAAACTTTTATAACTCGAGGAATAATTTAATTAAAAAAAAACTTAATAAAACACCATTAACAAGATATCGGGCTAGAAATAAAAAAGTATTGCAAAATACACCACAAAGAACATTACAAACAATCAAGTCAACTACAGAGAAATCAAGAAAATATAAACAAAGGATCCCTTCCTGGAAGATAATTGAAAAACTGCTTAGAGAAAAAAAAGCAAGACATAAACCAGTTTCAAAAAAAGCAGCTTCTATTAAAAGAGCAGCCCCCCAAAAGCCACCACAACTTTGCTGGGATGGCCGAGAGGTTCAACAGGTACCTACAAGGCCAGTGGCAGGCAGAAAAGTTAAAATAAAAAGAATAGAAAATGGAAAAATTGTTTATAGAAAAGTCAACAATAAAAAGATCCCTGCTTGGTCGATGAGAGTAAAGCCTAATCGAGAAACCACTGCCAAAAAAGTTGTTAACAGAAACAGCCACAGCAAGAAAGACACAAGTAGAATGAAAAAAACTGGACAAAAAAATGGTTCAAAGAAACCTAAGAGGAAAAAAGGAAATGTTATTATGTTGCGGAACAGAAAAGGCAGAAAAAAAAACACTAAAAGAAAAATTCTTAATAGTAATACTGGTATCACCAAAAATCTAGAAAAGAAAAATTAACTGCTAGAATGTTCAAAACTATCTAAACGTTAAGCAATAAAGAATTGCTAGAATAAGAAAAATATTAAAATAAAATAAGCTGGGAGTATTGCTAGAATAAGAAAAAAATATTTAAATAAAATAAGCTTTATTTACATTATTTTTTAAAAGAAACCCTGTAGTAAATGCTGAATTGAAAGGTTTATTTTGGATACACATGTTCAGTTGTACAACGTGTCTTTTATATAAAGATTAAATGTTTTCCGAATTTAATTTAAAAATGTTTTATTAGACCTTCACCTTCCTTTTTCTCTCTCAAGAATACTTGATATTCGGCTACTTAAAAGTGTACTTTCACAAAACTGAAGCCTTTGGAGATTCCTTTATTTGCTAAGGCCATCATCGAGAACAAAGAAAAAAACGGGCTTTAAATATTGTGATGTATCGGGGGCCATTTTTGGTCAGATAACATTTATCTAAATAAAAATGTTGCTTCCCAGTGTTGTTTATCTATTATGATTCTAGCATTGTTAGTAATACGTGACATTGTGTATACAGAAAACATACACAAAATAAGAAATTGGAAGCAAATTTAAACATTAGACTTGCAGAGGGAAGTATTCTTAGTCAAAACATCATTACTCGTATAATCATTGCAGAACATAGGCGATTATTTATATCTATGTAAAATAAACATATTTAAGTCACTTTTTTATTTTATTTTTAATTAAATGACAATGAATCAGTAAGACAATAAATGGTACTATGGCATGAATTAGTGAACTAATTCTTCAGAAATCAATATCCCTTCCAATCTTTTTCCTCTATACGTTTGACAAATCCAGAATCCCCATCTCTAGAGCTGCAAACATGTCATGTAACAATTATAATTATATAAATTACTGACTCTATGCAACATTATATCTAGCTCAAGCAACATTTCTAATTAAGATAAAGAACCAAATTGATAAGGGTTTGATGAAGGAGTGGGGATTGTAACAGTAGCTCTAGAAGCTCCTAATCTTCACATAACCTTTGACAATGAACGCGTGTAACATCACGAAATAGACTCTCTGTGGTATTTTTGCAAGTTCGTGATGGAGAGGCATCTTTCAAGAATCTTTTTGACCCCGATGCTATGAACAGACAGCAGCAGCAACAGCTCTTCTACAAAAGCCAGGTATTATCACAGGAGATTTTGAAGCCGTTACCCATTAAAATTAAATCAGAAAGGATGAACGAAATGTAGTAAATATAAAATCAGACACGTGAAAAGAAATATTGCTACAAAATTCTGAATACGCCTCTATTCCCACACACCGATAGGTATGTCTGCTGTTGTCATAGGTTTTAGGGACAGGTTTTCACCTCTCCAAAGCAAAGTGGATAGCCGCAAAAGAACAATATCACTATGAGTCAGTACACTGCCTATTAAGAGAATGAGCCGAAAGCACCGGTGATGATGAGCTGTGGGGGTTTCCAGATATACAAAAATAAAGATAGTGATAACGTAACCAATGTTAGAGATTAATTCGGTTGCAACGCAATTGTTAAGCAGCGTCATAGATGATGACATTAGATTCCATTTTTAAGGCAATTTATAAGGGCCAGAAATGGAAAAGAAACAAGAGTATTGCCATGTATCTATCAGTTGATAATAGTTTTATTAGTTAACAATAATAATAAAAAGTTTGGACTAATATCCTCAGAAGCTGAAGTATTTGGCTGGATTAAGGACCAAAACTCCGACTGGTTCAATAACGGTAAAAAGCGGTAATTATGAAAATAAAATGACAAAAATAATAATATTTCTCAGCTTGTCTTACGGCATTACGAGATATCACGGAGTTGTATTAATATACGAAAGTGAATCATTTAAAGAATAAAAGAATGGTGGAAACTGAGAATACTAGCTCCGTGAAATAAATTAGCTTTAATAGACAATTCGGGTACTTTATTTTCTCTCTTTTTTTAATGAGCTATGTCAGATTTATTGAGGTACTTTAATAAGATGACTAACTAACTAACTATGAATCCAGATTCATAGTAATCGAGTGTATATTCTATTTATCAATTAGTCAAAGAGACATAGGACTTATTTGTTAAATGAAGAATTTAGCGACCCGTAGGCACAGGTGCAATGTTATGTTTTGTTTCAATTGTTTATTTACTCATACTGTATAACTTCAAGGAAAACTATCACCGATAGGAAATAAAAGATCCATTGTGTCTTGTGGTAACGTCAATCGCTCCTTATTATTAATAAAATATGTTTTGTATAACAAACATAGAAAAATATTGTCTAAATAAAAATATCACTGTGATTCCTGGATATTCCACTTGTAGCTCATAAGATGAAGTCTTTTAACTGTGAGCGGTAGTGCCACACTTGTTTCAATTGAAGTATAAAAAGAAATGATAAAAATTGTTGTGGTTCTTTTGGTAATTAAATATTTTATTATATTTAGTGATGCTTCTGTTATCGTAGAGTTCGTTCTTTTATTGTTATAGACCATGAACTCGATGGAGTTAGTTGGTAAAACAGGACAGGAATACACAAGAGAAAACGTAATGAAGGAAGCTGTATCGAACTAACTTAAATTCCGCAAAAATGGGTAATAAAATTTAAAAAATAATTATCACTTTCAGATATTCCACATCAACTTCATTTGGGTTCTGAATTGCTACGACTATGATACAAACTGTGAAAATGGAGATCGTTACCATTTGGATCAGACCAAACGTCATAGTAAGCGTCAAAGTGGCCCAAATCGTAATCAAATAAAACATTCAAGAAGAAAAATGGCCGGTAGACCGTGGTATTATAATCACACCATAGGACAACATGATTTAGGAAAATATAAGAAAAAGCCAAATACAGTCAAAATACCAAGAACACAGTCAAGTACAAAAAAGAATAACACTAAAAATTATACAAAAAACTTAGACCCAAAAACAGCTGCACAGAAAAAGTTGGCAAGTAAATTTAAAATACCACGAAAACAGACAAGAACAAGGAAAAAAAATACTAAAAATGTAACTGAAAAGGTTGTGTCAAAAAAGGTTGCAAGGAAAAAGTTGACACACACGGTCAAACCACCACGGAGACTGAATAGTACAAAGAAAAAAGTGACTAAAAAAGTGAGAAAAGAACAAAATTTAGTGACCAAATCGATGCCAAAACAAAAGAAAGGACGAAAATTTAGAACAGCAGGGACAACAAAAAAACCAAAAAAAGTAAAATCTACTACAGCAGGTACAGTGAAGAAACTTAAAAAAGTAAAATCTATAGCAGGTGGAGCAACAAAGAATCCCACAAAAGGCAAATCTTCAATATCAAGAACAAGAAAGAAAAATACGAAAGGGGTAAGAACAACAAAGAAATCCAGAAAATTAAAATCTACAACAAAAAGAACAACAACAGAAGAAAGCAAACCGTTTATAATGTTAAAATATTACATAGTTTAATAAATTTACTTTAGTTTTTATACAATTTATTTGTAAATAAGTTATAAAGTCACTAAAATAATTTAGTAGTCCATTTCCTCTCCCTTTGGCTTATCACAGCGATATAATGCAGGCATTAGGATCGACATTACATATCTAAGGGTTAAATTTGACCATTCTGTGTTTGTATTTACGTGCGTAAGATTCTAAACTGGTAAACCGATTTTAATAAATGAGGTGACAATCTACTGGTTTATGGGTCTACACAAACTGCATCTATCTCAATCCAAAATAGATTTCTTGCTAACGTAATGTGTCAATTTGGATGCATTCTCATTTATTCTTTAGACATCGTAATTCACCGCTTTTGGATCAAAAATTATTTAAACTTTTATAAACTCAGCTTTAAATTTTGATAGTAAGTAACCAGGTTGTAACTGAGGTAGGAAACCATGTAACCCCGCAATGGATATACAAATTTTTAAAGTATGAAATTATCATTAAAATAAAATAAAATTGAATCGTGAAAGTAAGTCATTAAAATTGTGAGCTACAACTTTATGAGTTGTCCAAAAATGTTGGGCTACAAGTTCATTGTCATCATACAAAAACTATTAGTCCATAATTTTATTGGGTTGCTAACTATAACAATTATAGGTTATAAATATTTTTGGATTGTCATCTATAAAAATTATGGGTTTCATTTTGATTGGGTTGTCATGTACGAAAATTGTGGGTTAGAATTTTGTTAGCTTGTCATCAACAAGAAACAATGATTGTTACTTATAATAAAGTATATTATTGGTATAAATATAATAAAGTTAATTAAACATCGCAGTTATTCAGTACTACTAAAATCTACTTAACACACAAATCTACACTATTTTCAAACTAAATAACTGCCACCCATCATATTCCTAACCTTATCATAAAACACTTATAGTCACTAAGCCTACACGCAGTAGTGAGCGGTCATTAATTCGGAGAATAAGTAGCAAGCAGGTAGCCAGTTCAACGCCAGACGATGTAAAAAGAATAAAAAGCTAAGCCGAGTCTGATAAATTAGATGCTATTGTCGGCTACTGGTATTGACGGCATTTGGTCGATGAAGAAATGGTGGTTCCGTATCCAATATTTTTTATGGTTAACACTATAAAAATGTTTGTAAAACAAGGTTGGCATTAAAATTCAGATTAGTTTATGATCATGTTAAAAACTTTGGATCGTGTGATCGTAACTCTATCAGGCAATTCTCTATCAATCGGCAATGATATTTTTCAGGATGAAAGGTACACCATTTGTTTTTTTTTTATGACAGAAGGCAAAATACTAGACTATTCATCTGACGGTAAGTGACTTTCACCATCAAAGACACCATTAATGTCAAGATGTGACTCCCTTCGAGCTGATTTGACTTCTAAACGAGTAAGAAACTAGTGATTAATCGATTATGACTGTAATAAAAATAATGTATTATGGTTTGAAATTTCCAAATTGTATGTATTTATTTATTTCATGTATCAAATTTGGTTTTATACATAGGTGTTACCTTATAATGATAAGTTCCACATATATTGAGTATCTAGCATGCAACAAGCGAGTAAAACAATATTATTTTGAACTATTCAAAATTGAGTTCCACTAAATTTTATTAAAAAAAAACAACCACTGAATTAGATACTGAGGACTCGTGAAGGGCAACGGTCGCTGGGCTAATGTAACTTGGTATAGGCAGAGTTAACTTGTGTATGATTCACCATGTTTAACTTGCAGACTGCTCAGTTCACACTGATTCGATACTAGGACAGTCACAGGCACTATCACACTATAACTCGAAAGCTATCTAGCTCGAAACTTACACCTTTTAATTGTCAATAAACCAAAAACAGTAAAATATAATTTAATCATCCGCCTCCTGCCTCCATCATCACATCAATCTTACTAAGAATAATTTGTTGGACTCGTGAAAATGAACTGGGAAGCTCCTATATTATTTCCCAACTCTATCATCAGATCAGTTTTAGTGTGTTAGAGTATTTAATAATCAATCTAATTACATGTACTCACAAGGTTTATTTAAATATCATCATCATCAGCCTATCGCAGTCCACTGCTGGACATATGCCTCTCCCATTGCACGCCACTTAGATTTATTTTTCAATATGGCAATTAGAAATAAGTTAAAATTGACTTCAGAGTTTGTGTAAGTACATACCACATAGTTTAATACTACGTTACAAGTGAAACTAATAAAACGTGTTTAAAACATCTACTAAAACATGCAATAAACACAGATCTTTTGGAGTTTATCATTAAACAACTGCCTTATATTTCATTTGCATTTAAACACTGCCAATAACGAAGGAAATCGAAAATTCGAAACCTTATAACATTCATAGCACACAGCCCTATTACTTCCAAACAACTTCCTATCACAAAATTCTCTAATCGTCCATAAAATGTCCACTGAACCTAAATATATTGAAAAATAAACGGTTCCTTTGCTTTGTCGGCCGGTGTATTAATACTGGGAGAAGGTTTATTGACACTCTTGTACAAAGGGTTGGGTTCCTCACGACCATAGCCGTGGAGAAATATTAGACACGTCAGATTTACGTATTTTAGTCAATTAGGTAACTCTTTTTATAGGAATTAATAAGTTTAGTTGATCATCAAGTTTTTATAGCCGATTAACTTTTGATCGCGGCTTCGCTCGTATTAATATAATCACTGTAAATGTAATTTTTCTAGACCCATTAGCCAGACGGTTAGTACAGGGTTTATGTGAAGTTTTGCTTCTCTTTGCATTGCTGTTGTCCTGCGTAATTTGCTCCCTTAGTCGGCTCTTAAGACACCCACGAGATAAATAGTATTCGTTATCCGTCACCACACGCTTCTTATATCATAGAGACTAAACATACGTCAGCGCTATCTAGTGAAAAAACGCTGAACTATAAAGTAACTACGCTATGGCTTACTATTTTGGTCAGAAAACTCTTTATAATTATGTTTAAGTGAATAAACGCACTCACGATAGGCAAGCGATTGTTTCAAAGTTAATACAGAAAACTCTCTGTACTAGAAATAAAACCCACTTTTTTATTTTTATTCAACTGATGGAAAGTAACCATCGCCGCCCATAAACGTCTGCAACTCAGGAGTCACAAACGCGTTGCCGGCCTTTTAGGAAGGAGTACGCTCTTTTCTTGAAGGCTTGAAGGTCGTATTGGTCCGGAAATACCGCAGACGATAACCCGTTCACAGATTGGAGAACGGTTACCTGTAGGATTAGAGAATTGAGAAGCAAGAGGCAGTAGATAGACATGTCTGAGTAATTATTTCTATCAACAGGAATGGGATGAAACTGATCAGTAGCTTTTAATTTAAAAAGATGATTAGATACGTATTTGATTAGATGAAAATTATTATTATTATTTGAAATAGCGTATTGACTCTGTAAATGAGACTCGTCATCCTTTTTTTGTGATAAAACAGCAAATCTCATTATATGACGTAGCTGTCAAGACATCCTTGTTATTATAGGATAAACTGTCAACATAAACGGTTGGCAACCCCGACTGACCTCGCTTCCTTTAACGGCCGGTAATGACGAGAAGCAATGTTTTGTGTGTTTGTGTTAATATCACGAAACTAATGTCTGCATCAGAGTAAGTTATTACACCTACCGAATATTACTTTTTCCAAAATTTAGACTACTTCTTAGTGGGTAAAAAATTCTATTCCTGAGAGGCAGTACAAAATGCCTTTGAAGAGTTTGTTGCCTCCCTGTCCAGCTGATTTTTACAAGAAGGGCACCAATGAACTGCCAATGCGTTGGCAAAGACGCGTCGATTGCATGGGTGATTACTTCGAATAACAGGAATAAAAAAGTTTGAAAAAATAAGTACTTTCACTTATTGCATACAAAACGGCAATTTCATAGGTAAATACCTATTATATGTTTACATATACATTTCCCAAATTATAATTATGTCGCAGTCCAAATAAAAGTAATTATTTATCGAAATATCTATTTTTCTTAAGTCAATCACACAGTAATTGTAACAGATGCTTGAAGTGTGTCCATAATCTCTTTACCATCAATAAGGAATATCACTGACACATATTTGTCCACATTAATCCGACTTCTCTAATAACTTTTTACTGTCAAATATAACACACAATGTAGCAATCATAATGCACTTTCGTACAATTATCCAAAATCCGGGTTTCGAGCAAAAAATGCGACAATAATTTTACGCGACATTTAAGTAGTAAGAATGGACTCTCGAGCCATTCACCGTGGGGTGGGCACGGATGAAAAAAGTGACTCTTTGATGACGTTTTGTGTGACGTATTTCCGCTCCGGTTGCTTTGTTGCGCGTAGTACTGTTGGGATGTTACGGTACAAATGTGAATCGTGATGCTGTATAAAAAACATACATTACATGGATACAAAGACTTAGAACAACAATTTGTGGATCAGACAAAGTGTTGTCCCATGTGGTGCTCGAACCCACAACACTCAGCGTAGTAGTGAGCGGCGTGGCGACCGCTTTGATCACTCCGCGATCCGTGCAGTCAATTATTATATGCCTGAAACACAGGTCTCACACCTAGGTCAGGCCGTTTTGCAAAAGAATTTTTAATATTTTGTTTTTACTTTATATTCAATTTATATAGTTTGTTTGGTTTAGTTAGTTTTGGGTTAGTTGCAATATTTGCTGGAAAATAGATTTCGTTGCTATTATAATAAACATTGACTTATGTAAGATATGAGTTACTAACCATTAATTATAGGATCCTTGATACTTGATTGAAAATGCATAATACAGGGCCAAATTTAAGATTCAAGTTTATTCTTAAAATTATGGACTACTTTTAAAAGTATTTGTATTGTAGAATTCAGGCATGGTTTGTAAAACTCAGTCGCAAATTTACAATTCATTCTGTTAAAACACAGACAGGTTTCCACAATGTCTCGCCATCTGTCTGGACTGCAACACGGAGAGGAACTAACGTATTTCAACAACAATTGCCGTGTTCTATTGTGTCGTTGTCAATTTTATTGGACGGACATATTATAATACTCTTTACACTTATTGGCTTAAAGAGATTAATTTATTTGATGTCGCAGATTGTTTGAAAGCTAATTGTAGGGGGATGATTGGATACAAACGATTATCGACACCTTTTCTAACAAACGGCACGGGAAAGTCGATCTTTGTGTCACCTTGATGGGATATAAATTAAATTTAATGTTATAAGGATTAATAGAATTGATATTTCTCATGATTTGAATTGTGTTACGGGTTACGCATTAGCCGGTTCGCGTTACAGGTATTTGAGTCTGATCGATTAAGAATATGGAGTGTCTCCACCTATATTTTTCTCGTAGGTGTCGTAAGAGCCGACTACGGGAGCAAACTACGCCCTAGAAACCTAAACCCTAGAACAGCGTAGTATAGTAGGTCAATCCTCCTTTCTAAGTCTATATGTATGTCCAGCAGTGCAAAAAAAGTTGTTTTGAGCCTAAAAAAAACAAGTGTTACAAACTATTCCTGCATCCATTTACTGCTTAGTAATAAAATCTGGATGCAAGTTATTATCCTATAAAGCAAATAACACATAAGTAAAGATATAACATAGTTTATGCTTTTTATTACATACAATATTACTTAAATTACATATTTCTGAAAAAAGAAACAAATTTCTATAACATCTCTCATCTGAACTCATTAAGGAGACCATATATTAGGCAGTTAAAATTAGTTGACACATCGTCAAGTATCATTAGACGAAGCCTACAAAAACGTCATGGAAATTTGAATTTCGAACAAAAACAAGTTTCGGCAGACAGTGTGGCACCGCTCACAATGCGCAGGAGTTTACGTCAGGCGTACGTATCGTTTACGCGCGCTAGGAAAAATAAACAAAAGATTTTAGAGTTGACTTATGAAAATTTATTCTAATTTCGACCTTATGTTTACCGCAATTAGATATAGAATTTATTTTTTTGTTAATATGGAAGTATCTTTGCCGGGTTGTCAATTGACATTTTATCCTTCAAAAGAATTTAAGCACTGTAGGACGTGTTATAAGGTTGAATTTAAAATAAATATGCGTAACGTATCGTATTGTAAGTGTCACGGTATCCATTTATCTGTCAAGCGTGGAATGTCATTCATAGTAATGGATCGCTATAGGAAGGAAGTTGCAGGTAAACGCAGAAAAAATACCTTGAATGAATGCGTGCGCGCAGCATTGTATATGGGGTGAATTTTGTGGGATCTACGGACGCATTCAATTGGTTTTTATAACATTTTATTAGTGCAGTTAATAAGTTTATGTTTTGAAAAAAAAAAAGAATTAGTTTTGGGGTAAACTTTATGGTGTTATGGGCTATTTAAGCACGTTTATGACAATTAATAATATAGCGTTAAATATAACTTCCACGGCTAAGTATTAAAGTTTTATTGATGTTGATGATACAATGGCGCGCAGAAAATTTAATACTGTTTGTAATGGCTGCATACCCCAATTAGTTATTTCTCTATAAAAATAGTGTATTATTGCATCTGGTAGCCTTAATCTACTAAAACAACTAGACTTATACTGTAATATAACCTAGAATTTATTACATTACTATCATCATATGTGCTCATACGGTTATTCATCATATCATATCATGCTCATACGGTTATTTGCATGCATCATATAGGTATCGTACCTATGCCTAAAACCCAGTTTCATTATTTTTTTCCGTCTTTCTGTTTATATAATATGTTACTACCAGGTAGCTATCTATCTAAAGAGTAATTTAGATATTTTAGCTCAAAAAAACTATAAAATTTGCCCGGTCCGGGAATTCGAACGCACCAAGGCAGCGCTTTTTCAAATTCCACGCGAATAAAGTCGCAGGCACCAGCTAGTATCTAAGAAGTATATTATTTAGAAATGGATGTGCTAGGTTTACCGGCAAGAGTTTAGTCCCACTTACTTAATAGAGTGCAAGTCCCACTCTATTAAGAGTGCAAGTCCCACTCTATTAAGGAAGTGGGACTAAAATATATTAAAAAAATATGGGCGTTTAATAGCCTCTGCGGGTATAAATGAGTTGATTGTATAATTCACATCAACAGCCTTGAATAATCCACTGCTGGATATAGGCCCCTCCTTAGAAAGGAGGTTTGTATAATTATAAATATATATATATATATACTAGAGGCTTACGAACATATTGGCTCTTTACTAGACCTTTAAACAGTACAACCTGATAAACGCACTATTATTGCTTACTGTCATATGCACCATTATATCTTGATCACCTTTAGAATAGAATAGAATATGCTTTATTGTACATCAATTACAGTATGTTAGTTAAATATTACAGATATATACAATGGGTGGCCTTATTGCTAATAGCAATCTCTTACAGACAACCTTTGGATGGACAAATCGATAGTAGATGAGAAGAAACAGTGGGTAGTCTAGGTGTACCTATTGAAGCTTAAGCAGTGTAACAATAAATATATATATATATTGTATAATTATACATACACACATACATATATACAGTATATATTGATAATCATGAAATCATTCTTAAAAAAAGAATAACAATTTTTTTTTAGCCAGCGAATGAATCAAGGAGTTTATCAACAATGATTATTAGCATATATGTATAACAATTTAATGACATAATAAAGGCTAAGAATTTTTTCACAAAATCTTGTATCCATGACGCCTAAACTAGGACACGTCCTGTATCTTGGGCGTCATTACACCTTTGTAAGGATTAATTATTGTGATCCCCTAATAATTAACTTATATACTATTTGAGTTTAATCATAAAATAAAATTGCAAAGTTACAATAACATAATTACTAACCATTAATCTAACATTAAGTTATTAAAAGTTTAATCTGAAAATTGATTTACATGTACAAGTACCTGTGTTATCTTTGATATTATTTTAACTTGTAGCAACACACAAATTTTGTCTATGGTTTTATGACTGTCAGTCATAATAAAAATTTATGTAACCCGTTTCTTAAACCGACCTTTTTGACACTTTTGTTGTAAAAGATATAATAAGCTTCTTAACCTTAACATGCGGATATAGCTTCAGCTTTGAGTTGCAAAAGCGAATTACGGGTATTAAATAAGTTGAGTCAATAATTAATAACATAGGTAATTAATTTTAAGAAGCTGGAAGAATGAAGGAAACTTTTCTTTGGAAACCTGGAATTTACCGTGGGAGAGCCATGCTTCGGCACGAATGGGCCGGCTCGACCGGAGTAATATTACGGCCTCACAGAAAACCGGTGTTAAACAATTGATCACTGAGTGATTGAGGTTTACGGAGCCCAAAT